GTCCGGCGCGGGGCGGCGCCGTTGGGGCCGGAGGGCTCGTCGTCGGCGAGGCCCTTGCCGGGGCGGCCGGTGATCTGAATAGGCAGGGGGTGCGATTGCCTATCATGCACTTTCCACCACCTGAGGGGCAAAACGCAGCCCTGCAGATGGCCCCCGAGGCTGCTGCACCCACACCCTGTGAAACGCCCCCGGCGCCCCGGCGCCGCACGTCGCTGCGATGGCACCTGGAGACCCTCGCAGCTACATATCCAGGCCCTGGCCCAACGCAGTGGCAGCGCAGGGCGCCAGATCACGTTGAATCCGATCACCCCAGATCATCGCCTCACCTGCAGCACTGCGATGTCCTTGTCACGGTCGACGCCAATGACGCGCGCGCTGTACTCGTCACCGCCCAGCGCCGTCACCTGTATGTCGCTGGCGTCCTGGATGACGTGGTAGTTGGTGACCTGGGGGGAAATAGGGGGCAGGGGTGTGGCAGCATTCCGATGTCCAGTTGTGTCGTGATTGACACAGGGCATGCGCTTATGCGTGATGTCTGCATACGCTGGTTAGCGTGGTGTGCACGAGCATGGGTTCATGCGTGTGCGTGTGCGTGCGTGAATGTGCATGCGCGCGTGCGTGCGTGCGTGCGTGTGTGTGTGTGTGTGTGTGTGTGTGTGTGTGTGTGTGTGTGTGTGTGTGTGTGTGTGTGTGTGCGCGTGTGTGGATCGGGGGGGTCGCGCGTGCACATAAACATGCACGCACGTGTGTTGTGTGGGACGCTGCGGGTGCCGCCCCAACCTTCCTCATGACCCGGGTGTGCATTTGCTCTTTGCCGCAGCCTTGCCGCCAACGTTGGCACGCTTGGGGCCGCGACCCCTACGCTCCGTGGCGGGCGCTGCGGCCACTCCCAAAGAGAGCGTCCGTTGAACATGCTGCAGCGCGCCCGCAGTCCAGCACAGCCTGGGAGGAATGCCCACTCACCACGTGCCCCTTCTCGTCCCAAACAAAGCCGCTGCCCGCGCCCTGGGGGATCTCCAGCATGTTCATGGTGAACGCGTCCCGCCTTGGGAGGGTTCACAGTGTGTTGCAGGAGATGGGTAGACATGCCGGCCACAGCCACGGACCGTGACAGTACCAGCAAGCCGCCCCGAAGCGTTCATGTTCGACACCCTGCTGAAAGGGTCCGTGCCCGCACGCATGAAACTCCCGCGCATGCCCTGCTGGCGAGGCAGGGAGGTGGCCGGGGTGGCTGCCTATGGGGGAGGGGGAGGGAAGGGGGCGCCCCACCTGACCGCGAGGTTGGTGACGTTGACAACCGACGGCACGTTGCGTTTGAAAACGTCGACCGTCAGCTGCTCCTCCGGCGTCAGCCGCGCGCGCGCCTCCGCCGCCGCGGGCGCGAGCGGCGGCGGCAGGGACACCGGGCCAAGGAGGGACGCCAGGGTGACGGCGGCGGCCGCGACCACGGCGGCCGCACGGGTGGCCGGGCCACCGGACTGAGCGGGCGCAGCTTGCTGGGCGCCCGGTCCCTCCGGAACCCCCCGCGGCCTGGGCTGCTGCTGCTGCTGCTGCAGCTGGATTTCTTTGTTATCTGTGAGGCTGTCATGTTGCCGCGCCGCGCCTGCCACCACTGGGACGCCTGTGCCGCGCCTTGCTGTTCCCAGCAGCGCATGAGGTGCGCCGTGGGAGCACGGCCACTTCGCAGCGAGCGCCATGCGCTCCCGCCCGACCCGTGGTCCCACCGTCGTACGTCCTGCGAGTGTGATGACACCACGAAGGCGGTGAGATAACGCCGCGGAGCTGCTCTCCAACCCGTGGACGAAACACTGGCGCGGTCCTTACCTTGCATGGCGTCGCTGTGTTTCTGAACGTTTAAAATTCACTGTTTTTAAGCGCGTGTGAAGTGATCGGGCGCGAAATTCGTAACTCGGTTGGCGCCAACTCCGCCCACCGGAGCACAGCAGGTGAGTTTGGCGCTCTTCAGCCCTGCTCACGCGGCGCAGCATGCGTACTACAAATGAGCAAGGACCATATATGCACATGGCCTAGATGTGACGTATTCTGCTTGGTATCGAAGCGCAAGGGCACCCAGCACGGACACGTGGGACGCGCTGCGTGATCTCAAGCCAGGTCAGCATTCCAGAAATGGATTGTCGCTGCGGGATGCCTTTGCTTTTGGGAGCGTCGCAAAATTCAGCGCTAGTACAATGTAAGGAGCATGACATCAGCTGGAAGCATCAAAGAGAGCTGCTGAGCCCTCGTATCGCCTTGTTGAATGGCCATGTTGTTGAGGGGGTTGGTCGTCGGTGAGCCCCTGAAGTGCCGTCTTTTGGTCTCAAGTTCCCATGCTGCCGGACTTGTTCTGATAATCATTCCCAACTGTTTTTCACAAAAGTGTCCTTTCACCCGTTCGACGTCTCTCTGTATTTGGTTTGGATTGCTGAATGGTCTGTGCCAACACTGGCGACATTTGCTCTCGGCATCGTGTGAAATTACATGGGTTCAAAAGCCGACTTGCAACCATATACAGGATGATAAAAACGCCGTTCGTACTTTTTCAAAGCTCAGGCGGCATGGACAGCATGCATAAAGCTGGTCTTATGACAGCAGTGGACCACATGCACAGTGACTGTTTCGGTCCACAAAGCGTCCAGCCACGTGTTGATGTTGGTTACACTCAGATCCCTCTGCTGCTCTGATCACCTCGCCTTCGCGCTCAGGTGATGTTGTGATACGAGTCCCGGTGGAATGGGTATGGGCAGGGATATCCCACTCGCTTTGTGCACTCCGCTGCTTGCCACACACTTGTTCGTTTGATCCCCGGTGAGGCGGTGACGGCCGACTACGACTTCAAGGTAGTTGAGGTACACTTCTATGTTACACTGCGCTGACGACACTTTGGTTGAGCCCATGTGTGAGCTAACGCCTGACACGCACCCGACATGGGTCACCCCGTCACCCGCGACTGCGCAAAGCGCAAGCCGCTACCAGTGCAGCTGCACCCCCTCGTTTCCGGCTCACACGCAAAGCAGTCACACCTGCTCGCAAGGAAGTATCGTGGTTGCCTATTCTTCGTGGTGTGAAATCAAAGCTGATAGGTCGGAGCGTCGATTGCTTTGCGCACGATCTCACGTGCGGCCCTAGGCTCCCGTAGCGAGTTATGGCAGAGGATCTAATACAAGTTGGTCTGTTAGCCGCTCGGCTCAGGGCGGTAGAAGACCCCTTGCTGCAGGGCAAGCTCGCGAAGGCTCTGGGGGTGCTCAGCAGGACCTTTGCCCTTTACAGGCAAGTTTGCTTATATAAAGAGTGAAAATGACGTGTGGTTCCAGCATGTCGTCCCCAGAGCTCAGCTTTCCATGCCGCAGGAGCGGTTGGCGCGAAGCCCCACCGCTGCAACTGCCACACCCCTACCCTTGGATGCCCTCTGTCGATTGCGCATTCCTGCCCGCAGGCGCGACCAACTGGCCCTGAGCTTCAATGGTGGCAAGGATTCAACAATCCTGCTGCACCTTCTGAGGCTCGCGGTCGCTCTGTCGCAGCAGGGTGTGCCCGCGTCCGCGTGGCTGCCGCCGGCGGACGCGGCCGGGCGGCACAGCCAGTCAGGGCGCGACCGCAAGAGCAGTGGGGGCGCCACTGTGAGAGGCGGCGGCGGCGGTGCCGGCAGTAGACCGGGCAGCAGTCATGGCAGCTCGGGCGCCCTCGCAGTCCCGGCTAGCAGCAGCAACAACGCCGCCGACGGCGGCGGAGCCGCCGCTGCCGCTGATTTCGTCAGCAGCGGCAGCAACGACGTCGGCGTTGGACTGTCTGATATAGAGGCTATTGGCGGCATCCGCAGCTTTTACTTTGAGCGGCCGGACGACTTCCAGGAGGTGAATAAAGGG